TGGCGTACAATAACGCCGTGCATAGCAGCACTGGATTCACCCCCTTTCAGGTGGTGTATGGTTGAGATTTTGTTCCGATACCAGAGTGTGGAACCCAAGGGTCCCACTCCTGTCGGGCCGACGAATGGTTCACCCATGTGGGAGGGGTATGGGGTGTGGTAAAGAAGGCTTTGACAAAAGCAGGGGAAACTGCCAAAAAACAGGCAGACAAAAAACGTAGGACACAGAAACCATTCCAAGTGGGTGACTTAGTTTATTTATCCACGAAATACATAAGATTCCAGGTCCCATGTAAGAAACTAGCTCCGAAGTATATCGGCCCTTTCCGGGTGGCCCAAGTCATCAACCCGGTAGCGGTACGGTTACAACTACCAAGGTTCCTTGGTAAGGTGCACCCGGTATTCCACGTCAGCCTATTAAAGCCAGTGGAGAAAGTGTCCAATGAGCGCGCACCAGGGGCCCCAGGCCCCGTTGCCCCAGGCCAATATGAGGTCCAGGGGATCCTGGATTCATGGGTGAGGAGGGGTGAACTGTATTACCTTGTTCTCTGGAAGGGGTACCCCCTATCCAAGGCATCCTGGGTAAGGGACGGAGCCATGTTTGCGCCCTGACTGGTCAATAGGTACCATCAAAATTTCCCCCATAAACCGGGTAGGCAGCCAGCCGATCCAACCACAAAGAAATGTGACCACTAACCCCATTATGCTTCTTTCCAGGGGGACCCTTGGTAAGGGGAGCCAAATGTCGGGCCCTGCGAGGCCTACCCATTCGGACAGTCGGAGCCGTCGTCTGCTTACCGCTCCGCCATCCGGTGAGGGCCTCGTGACCGGTCCACTGTTGCCGCCCTGCTGCCCTGCTGCTCCTGCCGCCATTGTGGCTGCTCACCGTCCTCCTGAGCTGCTGACGTCATCAGGAGGCGCCCTGCTGTTTCTGCTGGTATTGTGGCTGCTTGCCGTCCTTAGCTGCTGACATCATCGTAAAGCGCCTCACTGGGCTGACAGACATCCAGGAGCTCTGCGGAGCTGGACTAGCAACAGGGAAAGGCCGTTCGCTTTGTTGTATCGGTGGGCGAACGGCCCTGCATTGGATGCTGGCCTACCGGCAGCAGGAACTGAGGCATGAAGGTGCTGCTGACTGGTGGGGGTGGTGCTGACTGGTGGGGGAGGGGCTAGGGACTGGATGGCCAGTTCTTTTTCATTCCACCCTAATGATGGCTTGTTGAGTGGGGCTGGGCCAGGTGAGGGTGGGGTCTGGTGTGGGTGGGGCGCGCGTACGTAAGTAAGGCACTGGGAACAAGTCACTCCCAGTGCTAACTTTGTTTCCATATAGCAAATAAAGCTGTTGGATGTTTAGCGTTCCTGTTTTCTGGCTTTCCTTGGAGCTCAAATAGGATGTCTTGACAAGTAGTATGCAGTAGCCATTTCTGTATTGGCAAATCAGTCTAATCGGTAAAACCCAAAATCATAATATCATTTTTTTCCACCTCAAGCACAAAGTCCAGAAGTGGTTTCCAAGTAGAAACAAAAGTACTTTATGTTCTTTTCTTTTATCAGCACAGTCAATTTGGCCATCTCTGCTAATTCCATCAACTTTTGTAACCATTCATCCATGGTAGGAATCGAGGCATCCTTCCACTTTTGTGCACAGAGCAATCTTGCTGCTGTCACCATATATAAAATCAGAGTTCCAAATTTTTTTTCCAGTTGTCTTTCCATTAGACCCAGAAGGAAAGTTTCTGGTTTAATCTTTATGTTCACTTTAAGAATTTTCTGCATTAATGTATGAATCCTACTCCAATATTTCTTTGCCTTATCACATGTCCACCATAAATGATAAAAAGTCCCTTCTTTACATTTACATTTCCAACATTCATTTGGAAATACCTTTATACATTCTAGATAACTTATCTGGTGTTAAATACCAGCGATACATCATTTTGTAAAAAAATTCTTTTAGGTTATTTTAAGCCTTTTATCCACATATTCTCCCATTGTTCAAACATCACATTATACCCAAAATTCCTTGCCCACTGGATCATACAGTGTTTTACATGTTCATTTTCCAAATTCAATTTTAATAACATTTTATAGACCTTGGGAATTATATGATCATCACTACCTCATAGTAGGATTTCCAATTCATTTTTAGCAAACTCAAAACCATGGCCTTTTTTGACTAGTTTAAATCTTTCCTTCATTTGTTGATATGTAAACAAGTGACAAGCGTGACCTTCTAATTCTAATTCTTCCCTAGACTTGAGAATGGGGTCTCCAGAATTGAAAGATACTATTTTACCATACGTCCACCAGTCTGGCTTCACCACCATTTCTTTTCTAAAAAAAGCTTCTTGGGGGGGACACCCATAGGGGCAATTTCATAAAAAAAACTCGTTTTATATTTATTCCAAACTCTCAATATGGTGTGTCTAATAAAATGATTATTAAAATCAACATTTACTTTAACTTTATTGTACCATAAAGGAGAAACTTCCTGACAGTGAGGACAATCAACCAGTGGAACAGCCTACCCCCAGAAATCATGGGCGCCCCATCACTGGATATCTTTAAGAAGAGACTGGACAATTACCTGTCTGAGATGGTGTAGGTTCTCCTGCTTAAGCGGGGGGCTGGACTAGAAGACCTCCAAGGTCCCTTCCAGCTTTATTCTATTCTAAATCAAGCAGCCTCTTATTCTGGAGGTTCACCCACTCTTTTAACCAAACCAAACAGCATGCATCAAAATACAATTTCAAATCTGGTAAACCCAGATCCCCTCTTTCCTTGGCATCTTGCAATAACTTGTATTTGATTCTTGCTTTCTTTCCTTGCCATATAAATTTAGAGATATCCCTTTGCCACTGCTTAAATGGAATATCCATTGCAAGTATTGGTATTGTCTGGAACAGAAAGAGCATCTTTGGTAAAACATTCATTTTAATTACTGAAATTCTGCCCAGTAATGATAAATGTAGTTTCTCCCATCTTTGTAGATCCTTTTTTATATCATTCCAAAGAGGTACATAATTATTTTGAAACAGTTTTGTGTTTGTCAACATAACCCCCAAATATCTCACTTTTTTCTCAACTTTGAAACCAGACCTTTTACTCAATATATCACCATCCTGTGAGGACAGGATGTGTTTTGTTATTTGACTGATTTTACTTATTTTGCAAAGACTCGTGATGGGTCTTAATTATCGGCTTCCTTGGTCCTAATCCTGTCAAACAAATGTAATTAATTTTATCCCCTTATCTTTAGTCTGTCTATTACCTCCATTGAGCTCTTTTTGTGAATCAACAGGCCTGAATCAATGTTTCTGCTTTTCGCAATAGCCAGGGGCTTCATGAGTGAAACATTGTTTCTGTATTTCTTTTCCTGAGCTTTATTCTTGTGATTTGAAGGGCATAGTAAAAAGGATTGGGGGGGGTGCATTCTTACCACAGTTTGTTATAGCTCTAGGAGCCTGATACTGTGAACCACCGTCCTAAACAGCATCAAGAAGGAGGTTGCGATAGAGGTAGAAAAAGACAGTTTGACTTCATTGCCCCATACTAAGCTTACTGCAAAAATTCAGACAACCACTAGATTCTGCCATGCATATGGTCAGTTTACCCCACACTTCAGTTTGTGTAAATTATCCAAGGCAAAAATTCATAGAATGTAAACAAATATGTAAAGTGAATGTAAAGTGCCCAGTTCTTTGCTCAAGGCCACTGAAGCTGCCTTGCCTTGCAGAGAATGGAAACAAGAGAATTGAAGATGCAGATCTATACCTCAAGAATCCTCTTCCCTACAGTACTTACGGCGTGACTGTTACTGAGGAAAATTGTAAGCTTTACAAAAATAATTATGGTAAAATATGGAAGGAGATAAAATTGGATTTAAAAAGATGGCAAAAAATAGATTTGTCATTAATGTGAAGAATTTCAGTAATTAAAATGAATGTACTATCTAGAATGTTATTTTTATTTCAAACTATACCGATATTGATTAGAGATTCCACTTTCAAACAGTGACAGAAAGATATATCTAAATTTATTTGGCAAAATAAAAAACCAGGAATTAAATATAAGTTGCTACAAGATTCTAAAGATAGAGGAGGTCTGGGTTTGCCAGATCTTAGATTATATTATGATGCTTGTTGTCTGGTATGGTTAAAAGATTGGATAACTTTAAAAAATTCAAGGTTGTTAGACCTCGAAGGTTCTGATTTGAGATTTGGGCGGCATGCCTATCTGTGGTATGACAAAGTAAAAGTTAACCCTGGTTTTAAGATTCATGCTATTAGGCAATCGATTGGACGTGTCTGGTAGAAGTATAAAAGAAGATTAGCTGATAAAGTGCCACTTTGGCTATCACCTCATGAAGCACTACATAGAACAGAGATGATATTGGAATACAAATACAGGTTTTGAAAGATTTAAACTTGATAAAAATACTTTTGTTTTCACAGGAACTAAATCTGTACTGGACGTTAATTTATGTTCTGGAGATGACCACTTGATTGCTGCAGTATATAAAATATTACTCAAGATGAATCTGGAAGATGAATACGTTAAAGATTGTATGGTAAAATGGGCAAACAAAATGGGTATAGCATAACACTAGATAAATGGGAGAATGTATGGACTAATGGACTACAATTTACATTAAATTATAGCTTGAAAGAATTTTTTTATAAAATGATGTATCGTTGGTATTTGACCCCAGATAGACTAGTGAAAATGTATATAGGGACTTCTAATAAGTGCTGGAAATGTAGTCAAAATCCAGGTTCATTATATCATATGTGGTGGTCTTGCTAATATGTGAAAACATACTGGATAAACACAACAATGACAATGCAAAAATATTTAAGATACAATATTAATGAAACCTGAAGCTTTTCTTTTAGGTATGATGGACAAGCCAATTGAAAAACAATTTGGGGTGCTATTCTTTCACATGGTGACAGCTGTGAGGATTGTACTTGCCAAACACTGGAAAGAAAAAGAGATGCCGACTGTTGAAGAATGGATTTTGAAATTGACTGAATTGGCAGAGATGGCAAAATTAACTGCTTTGATTAGCGATAATGGACTAGACAGCTTTATAAGAGACTGGAAACCATTTGTGGACTTTCTACATGCTAAATATAATAACAGATGGTTAACAGAAGGATTTGAAGATTAGTGTAATGTTTAGCTCCGTGGTGGCGAACCTATGGCACATGTGCCACAGGCAGCACGCAGAGCCGTCTCTGTTGGCGCGACATTGCTGGGCCGAGCTGCTCCCTCCTCCTCTTCGCACATGCGCAGCTTGCAGCTCTCCGCACATGCACAGTCTGGGAATAGGCGAGAGGCTATAAAAGGAGCAACTTTTGGCGGGAGCAGCATTTGCTGCAGACAGCGAGCAAGTGAGGACGAGTCGGAGCAGACAGCGAGCGAGCGAGCACGAGCTGACAGAGGTAAGTTTCAGCTGCCGGCCACACAGGGGAGGAGGAGGATGAGGGGTGGCCTGCGGCGGGGGAGTGCCTTGCCTTGCCTCGTACTCCTTTAAGGCGGCGGCGGCCGTTAATGGTGGCGGGGGGCTGCCTTGCCTCATGCTGCTTTAAGGCGG